TGTTTGACTGAAAACGCACTCAAATTATTAGAGCAAACACTCAAAAATAGGCAATGTATGTTCTTTTGCGTAAAATTGGCTGAGCTTGTTAATATTCGTCGCCTGCCTGGGGAATGTTGATATTAGAAAACCCTCTACTCGACTTCCTTATTCCCGGTTCCTATCTTCGCTGCCAGAATATGTCAGTAAATTGTCTGCGAATATAAATTAACTCTAGGTAGAGATGTTGACGATTGAATTTTCCATAATTTATGAGCACTCAGACACATTACTCATTCACGATGTTTAAATTGAAGTTGATTCGGTTTGGTTCCTAAACGTGATTTATTAAAAATCACTTATTCTCAATTCACCTCAACTTCAACTTTTGTAGGTGAAAAATCAATGGAGTCTAGGTGGTGTGTATCAAAGATACGTTTCGTTTAATAATAGCGCCTGGTCTCTTGAAACAAAAAAAAACATTGTTAAATACCCATAAAACCTGCAACGGCTTACAAAAGACTATAGAATTGAATGGATGGGGCGAAAATAGCATGCCGGGCCTCGGATCCAGACCACAGTGAATTGAATAATAATAGCTTCAGTTTCTCACTTTTTAAATCGTTAATTGCTTTTTATAGCCAAAACTCTCCACATAACTCGTGCACTTATCGCTTAGACGGAAATAAAAGGAAACAATTAAAGTGGGGACCGGCAAATACGTCAGATTGGAAGATGAATGTCGCACTAAAGCCGAAATAAAAAGCAGAATGAAACACAGAAGAAAATAAACGAGAAACCCGTTTTTGTTGTGGTTTAATGTAAGGCTACGAGTTAGGGGCTGGGATAGACAATAAAGCGTCATTCCTCGTTGGTCTTTGATAGCGGCCCCGAAATGATTATTAACGATCTTAAAGGGCGTCTGGTAATAAAACATCCATTTGTCATAGTAGGCAGTGTATGTGTGAGAATCGATGTGTTTTTCGTCGGCTCACTCGACTTTGATTGGTCACGTTTGCCCGACAAATCGAACGCGATGTTCATAATTTCTGGCCAATATCTCGAAAGTAATTTTCTTGTTAAATTGCAATCAAAAACTTTTCAAGAGGGTCAAAATCTATACAAGTTGGATAATCATTTACTAATGCAGTTAAGTCCGGATATAACGAACTGGTTTGTTATATCCGGAGTTC